CACCTTACTGGGGTCTATCACTATTAATCACACTCAAATCACATATATGTTGATTCTGAGGTGTGAGTTGCTACAATTTTTGTGTCAGAAATCAATAAAAATTAAAATTTTCTAGTTGATACAGGTGCAGATATCTCATGCATACCTAATATAATGCTGTCGTTTATACCTCAAATTAAAAAATTAAATTAAATTGAAAGTTGGCTAACTTTCAACTAAGAATTAAAAATTAAGGAGATCGATCTATTTAGCTGGTTTTTGTTTATTTCAATGTTCCTTTCTGTCATTTGTGATTACGTAAAGAGCTAGCTAATTTTAGAAAATCCATAATTCTTAATTTTAGGTATAAACTGCATTTTTAAAGTTTAGTTTAATTTAATTTTCAATTTATTTTTTTAGTTTAGTTTAATTAATTCTTAATTTTGGAAGTATAAACCAGTCATAAAAGATTAGTTAATTTTGGTTTACTTAAACAAATTAAATTAACTGATATAATAGTTACTGGGCCGTCTGGGATTAGATTGAATCTGCTAGGAACAATATCTTGTTGTTTTAAATTTTCAAGATCAGACTTTTGGTACAGAGCTTTATGTCATTGATAAGCTGACTCTGACTAAAACTATTTTAGGTAGAACCGCTATTAAATAACTGAAAATTTTAAATTTATTCTCTAATCAGGTTGTCCCTATAAAACTTAATGACTCTGTTAAGAACCACATCATTATGAAATATCCTAAAATTTTTAGTAGTGTCGGTAACTTTAAAACCGAAATGCAGATCAAGCTAGTAGAGGGAGCTCAAACTTTCATTCAATCAGTTTTACGAATTGTTCCCATCCCACTTTTAAAGCCTCTAAGGGAAGAATTGGAACGCTTAAAATCTCTAAAAATAATCGAACCTGTGGAAGTCCCTACTGATTTCAGTCCGATCGTGGTTGTCCAAAAAAATTCCAAAATCCGCCTCTGTGTAGATTATACACATTTAAATAAGGCAGTTTTACGTTCGCACTTTCCCATAGGTAAGGTGGAAACTATTTTATCACAAGTCCAGGGCTCTAATTTTTTTTCTAAATTGGACACTAATTCCGGTTTCTATCAAATTAAACTTGGTAAAGAATCTCAACTTTTGACCACTTTCATTACAGCATTTGGGCGCTTTTATTTCAAAAGGTTGCCCTTCGGTATAACTTGTGCTCCAGAATATTTTTGCGGATAATAAGTCATATTGATGACATACTAGTTCATGCTCCTACCCTTGAAGAACATAATAATATTCTGTTTGAGGTTCTCAAGCGTATTGAACAGGAAGGAATTACTTTAAACAAAGAAAAGTGGGTTTTTGCTACTCAATTTCTTACGTTTTTGGGCCTATTTCTAATACAGGGATTTCTGTTGATTCAGATAGAATAAAATCAATAGTTCAATTCCCTGAGCCGAAAAACAAAAAAGAGATTTTACAATACCTAGGAATGATAAATTTTTCAAGTCGTTTCATTCCTAACCGTTCTCACCTACTTGAACCATTAACTTCTCTTCTAAAAAAAAAATGTTGAGTTTAGTTGGGGAATTTTGCAAAAACAGGCCTTCGAATGTTCAAAAGCAATACTATTAAAGTGCTCTACTTTGGTTTAGTTTGACCCCACAAGATAAATTTCCATTCAAGCAGATAGTTCATCCTACGGACTAGGTGTTTGTTTACTTCAGTCTTCGAATGATGGAAATACTGAGATAGTTGCATATGCATTTCGTTTACTTTCAAGCACTGAGAAGAGGTATGCTCAAATCGAGCGTGAAGCTCTGGCTTTAACCTGCGCAGCTGAAAAATTTTCGGAGTATGTCTCTGGGATCCCGATTTTAATGCAAACCGACCACTGATACAAGTTCTACAAACAAAACAGCGTTTCAGAATCCGCTTAATGAGATATGATTATAAAATCTATTATTCCCCAGGGAAGGAGCTGGTGGTTGCAGTTGCTCTATCGCGAAACTTTTCTTCAAATGCTGAGTAACCAACCCAGGATGAGTTGCAGTGGGAAACAGAGGCTCATGTTAGATTAATTGTACAGTCAGTTCAGATAAAATCTTCCTTTCTTGATGAGATTATAGCTGAACAAGCAAAAGACCCTATTACATCTCAAATTAAGGAATATACGAAGAATGGTTGGCCAAATAAGAGCATATTGAGTAATGATTTATTGCCCTATCATCAGTATAGATTGGAATTTTCATTCTCTAAAGGGTTTTTATTGCGGAACTCACGTATTTTTATCCCAGTTTCACTTCAATTAAAATGTTTGTGATTTATTCACGAAGGGCACCTGGGAATTGTAAAATGTAGGCAAAGAGCTAAATCTTCGGTGTGGTGGTTGGGTCTTTCTACCCAGATAGAAAACTTGGTTAGAAACTGCCCTAATTGTGTTGAAAATAGAATAAATTTCAAGGAACCCATGATTGCAGAAAGTTTCCCTGACCGAGCTTGGCAAAAAATGGCTTTAGATTTGTTTAAGAGCAATAATACTTGGTAACTTATCGTTACCGATAATTACTCTAGATTTTTTGAAATATTCAAGCTTATGAGAATGACTGAAGACTGTAAAGGAACGTGGTACGCGCGAACAAATCTTGAACTTGAGGCAGGTTATTGAAAATGCCAGAGAGCATTACTTATTAGATACTTATGTTATCGCCGATGCTGTTTAACATCTATTCTCAATTTATGATGACACTGGTACGTACCTACTGGACGGTTGGCACTGTGGTGTAACTCTTGGTGGAATCAAGATATCTAATTTAAGATTTGCCGACGATACTATACTCTTCTTGCTGCTTTTCAGAGTAAATTGTTAACCTTACTGTCCTTACTTAACATCTCAGTATCAACTACAATAAGACTAAGGTCATGATCGTTGATAGAGAACATGACAATCATCCTGAAATAACATCAGTAGGCCGCTGTCAGGTAGTCCAGAGTTTTGTATACCTTGGTTCTTTGATCGACAGCTGGCTCCGAGTGCGAGGTTAAAATTCGTCGGCGCATTCAACAAGCACAGTCAGCCATAACAAGACTAACTAGAATATGGACAATCATATCACGAAAGCCACTGAAATGTCGCTTGTCCGGTCTCTTGTCTTTTCCATATTTTTGTATGGCTCTGAGACTTGGACTGTTGGAAAAGCAGATCGCTATCGGAAATGTGGACTAGGAGGAGAATGCTAAGAGTTCCTTATACAGCCAGGGCCGATCCTAGCAGGTGTGCAGCGCGTGCCCTGCACGCGGGCGGCCAAACCTCGGGGCGGCCGCAGACTGCCTAGTTCTATCATTCACGATTCAAGTAAAACTTATCACAAATTTCTCAAAATAAAACTAGGTATTTCTAATAAAGAAATAAGCTGAACTTTAAAAAAGCCTTGGAAAATCAAAATAAACCCTGATCTCCCGATAGCATAACAGTTTGATGGTTTTTACTCTTCACACATCCCTCATTGGATGGAATTTTTTAAAATATTTTCTGAATAAATACTTCTGCTTTGCTTTTTTTGGAAATGTTTATTTTTGTCCCTAATCTGGAAGAATAACTACTAACCGTCCAATAGCACTAGGAGAATACTCCACTAACAATTTAACCAACTTTTTTGTTCCCAAGTGCAGGTGGATTTGTTATGTAGGTAAGTATTACGACTAGGGACTGGGGTGTCTTGGTTTTTCCACTGGGCCCTATTTTCTAATTTCGTCCCCCAAACCCAGGCCCTACTAAATTTTAAGATAGTATATCTATCATAGAGGTGGCACCCAAAAAAAATTTCGGGCAGCCACCGCCGGAGCCTACATACATATGGGGCGGAAAAATTGAAGCTTGCACGCGGGCGGCCGACACCCTAGGATCGGCCCTGTATACAGCTCATCGAACTAACGTTTCCATATTAAACGAACTCGGAAATACAAAACGACTACCTATCCTCAATTGTTTCAACGCGTATCCTGACGTTCTCCTGCCATAGCTATAGAAGTGATAATATGGAAAAACTTGTTGTTCAGGCTCATGCTCTGAAAAGTCGGCATAGTGGCCGTTTTCCTACACACTGGGTGGATGTGACAAAACAATTGCTAGATGTTAGTGTCACAAGAGCGACCGAATTGACAAATAATCGCGAAAGATGGTGGTATGCGGGTTTCAAAGCAGTTGACAACCTTCGTGTCGGCAATCCTCCAGTTCTGACTTAGTACATTTCATGGGTTCATAACATGTCTGGCAAGACATTGTAACTATGATGATAATAGTGAGAGACCGTTTCCATGCATTTCAACAAAAGAGTTGTGTTGCCATGTTTTAAAAACCAAGTCCAATGGCATTGAGAGGTTTCAATAATGTTGGAACGCTGATTTATTTACAATAAAAATGGACTTCCATTCAAAAATAAAATTAAGTTACATACGGCGTCTTAGAAACGGTAAGCTGTAAGCTTGGCAAATACCACCATTGAATCGGGCATTCTCAATGGTAGGAAATATGGTAGACATTTTTCTGTATGGAATCGCTTTATATTATATACCATGGGAGGCCTGAATCCAGGTCTACATAAACATGGGATAATTTGAATTTGAATATTTTCTGTGATACACTGGATGAATTAGCCTTCTTGCTGGTAGAGACGGAAAGAGATGAGGGCAATTCCAGAGACGTCAGATTTGTTTGACCTTTTAAATTATTTTGACATACTACGGTATGGTATGTTTCTGGAATATTCCAAAAAAAAGCAATGATCACTAATGAATTCAAAGTATTGCTCCAATGTTGTCATTAGACATTATGAAATCATCATCTAACGATCATAGTGAAAGGACTTTGAGCATTCAACTGGTATATTTGGTTGGCCTCGAAGAGGAAAAGTGGTTCTATGCTGGTAACATGGAACAACCAGTTTTATGGTAAATTTATACTGATGTTTCCAGACATTTTTCAAATTTGTTTCATAATTGTAACCATAATTAAAAATTCTTACCCGTAACACAATTATAAATTGGTATCTCTTTCGTTTTACACGAAGCTATCCGCCAAGCGGACACAATCATTAAATTGATAACAGTATCGACGGGTACCAGATCGGCCTTCTTCGTTTTGTCGCACAACATGGTGCGAAAAAGTCCTTTTCCGGCCGCCGCGATGATGCCGGTCGGTCCGTTCCAATTGTCCACCCATCCTTTCAAGGGGCCGTCCATACTACTTAAAACTATACTGGGCCGGACTATGACCAGAGGCAGATCGCCTTTGTTGTCTTTCAGCCAGCATTCGGCCAGGGCTTTGGTGAATGTATAAGTGTTGGGCCGGTTTCCTACTAATTTTGGGGTCAGAGAGTCTACCAAGTCTTCGTCCAGGGCTTCTACGAGAGATACGATTTCGTCGGGACCGATCGACGGCGGATAGATTGTTTCTTTCACTTCGGATCTGTCGCAGTTGCAGTAGGCGGTAGAGACGTGGATCTGGAATTCACATAATATATTTCTACGCGTTATGTCAGGTTTTTATAGGGTCAAGGAAAGCCCTAGTATGACATTGAATTACATCCTATCATTTCAGAAACGAAAACGTAAATAGTTAATGTTAAGAAGATGCCGGAAAACTTAATCAACAATAAGGACGATCTCCGTTATTTGAGAGATAGAGAGTGCGTGTATTTAGGGGATCCCTGGGTGCGCCAGATTTTTCACAATTTCTACAGCTTGCGGAAAACAAAAATTTCACAACATCGCACTGACGGATTCCCTATGATTCATTACATGTGATAGTAGGCCTTTATAGTCCAGGAGGCAGTGAAATTTTTTAGCACTTATTTTCCCAGTTGGTTATTAAATAGTTTGTTCTCGCGGTGATACAAAACAAGAATATTTCAGTTTCGGTTGAGCTCGAAAAAGATGCAAAACCAATTTATTGCAAATATAGAAATGTGACAAGGTGGAAAATGAGTTAATTGAGTTAGAGAGGGATGGCGTTATAGTACCAGTTGAAAGTAGTGCATATGGGCTACTCCATTAATACCTATTTTAAAAGAAGGGGGTAAAATCAGATTATGTGGCGACTGTAAGACCACTGTTAAACGTTGCATTGAAGACTTTAAATATCCTTTACCTCGTATAGACGAAATTTTTTCAAAATTTAATAAAGGAGTTTTGTTTAGTAAAATTAATTTAGTTAAAGCATCATATAACCAATTTGAAGTTGATGGAAAGACTAGTGAAATTCTCACGTGGAATACTAGCAAGGGGTTATACAGTGAGCACGTAAAGGTTGGAATAAAGTCTATAAAATATACAGGGTGGATATTTTTCAAAAAACCTCGGACACGTCAATTTTTGATTCTAGTGGCCGTTTTTTTGATGATAATACCATGTATACAGGGTGACTCAAAAACAAGTTATGACAGCTAACTTAATTTTTTTAAATGAAAACACCAATTTTTTATTTCATTTTCAAATTCTACGTTAAATTTTTCACCTATTTCATGTTTTATGTCCTATACCTATCTTCAATTGTTTCGGAAATATTGACAGTTGAAAATTGACTTTTTTGCAACTTTGACAGGCTGTAGAACCTAAACGGTTAATTTAAGAGGCAAACCGATCATTCATACATTCTTGTATTAGTTTTCCATAAACTATTATTTGACACCAACTTTGAATTTAATCCATGGTTAAAAATGCCAGCTAAATTTGATCTCCGGTTTAATTCAAAGTTGGTATCAAACGATAGTTTATGGAAAACTAAGAATGTATAGTCGGTTTTGCTCTAAAATTAACCTTATAGGATCTACAGCCTGCCAAAGTTGCAAAAAAGTCAGTTTTCAACTGTCAATATTTCCGAAACAGTTGAAGATAGGTATGGGACATGATACATGAAGGGCCGATACTTTTGCTCTCGATTAACGAATTTGATACGTTGTCAAAGTTTTGCATGGGCCAAGGTCTATAAGTATGATGTGGTTAGAGCACATTCTAAGCGCTGATTAATTTTAACGGCTGTCAAATGAGAGCAAAAGTACCGGCACGAAATATGTTCAGAATTTAACGAAGAATTTAAAAATCAAATAAAAAATTGGTGTTTTCATTTAAAAAAATAAAGTTTGCTGTCATAACTTGTTTTTGGGTCACCCTGTATATATGGTATTATCATCAAAAAAACGGCCAATAAAATAAAAAGTTGACGTGTCCGAGGTTTTTTGAAAAATATCCACCCTGTATATTTTATAGATTTTATTCCAACCTTTACGTGCTCACTAGAGTTTTACGCTTACCTTTTGGCATAAAATCAGCTAGTAGTATTTTCCAAAAATCTATAGAAATAAGCTTTCTAGGTATGTCAGGGGTACTGAATTTTCTAGATGACATTTTGGTAACTTGGAGAAATGATGAGGAGCATTTGTCAAATTTAGGAAAAGTGTTTGCTAAATTGCAGGACACAGGTTTGACAGTTCAAAAGGAAAAATGCGAATTTTTTAAACCAGAAATAGAATATTAAGGGCATAAAATTTCGAAACAGGGCATCAGAAAATTTGATGATAAAGTTAAGGCCATAACGGAAGCGCCTGAACCAACTAATATAACAGAAGTTAGAAGCTTTCTGGGGTTAGTGAATTATTATCATAGATTCATTCATAAGGCTTCTGAAGTGTTGAGAACCATTTATGCACTGTTGAAAAATGAGAATAAGTTTGAATGGAATAGGAATTGCTCTGACTCATTCAAAAAAGTCAAAGAGGTAATATCCACAGACATGTGTTTAGCCGATTTTAATCCAGATTTGCCAATATATTTAACCACAGATGCCTCGATACAGCACAGTACAAAAAGAAGCTTTGAGCATTCGTTATTCAGTTGGCAAATTTTACCAATATTTAATAGGACACTTTTTCACGTTGAGGATAGACCACAAACCGTTGGTAGCTCTATTTGGGGAGAATAGAGGACTTCCACAGATGGCTGCAAACCGACTTCAGAGATGGGCGTTGTTTTTGTCAGAATTTGACTATAAAATAGAATATACCAAAGGAAAAGACAACCCTGTAGCAGATTTCGTGTCAAGAATGCCTAGAAAGGTGAGAACCATCTCCGAAGAATACTCTGATAAAGGATTATATATAAATTTTGCGGAGACAGTAAGTGATTGGCCTATAGACAATAAAGAGGTAAGGAAACAGTTACGCACGGATCCTGAGGTAAGTATGGTACTTGAGTATGTGAAAATGGACAAATGGCCACACAAGTTAAAAGAAAAATTGAGACCATACTACAATCTTCGTGAGCATTTGACAGCGGATAAAGAGACATATTGATGTGGGGACATCGAATTGTAGTTCCTGGAGTTTTGAGAGGAACTTTGCTAAACAGTGGCCAGATCAGTGCTTTACTGGCCAAATATTGACAAGGACATCGAGAACATGGTCAAAAACTACCTGCCGTGTCTCAAGAACAAACAAGATCCACCCAAAAACGAAGCAATAGCGTGGCCAAAATCTGAATGTGTCTCTGAAAGAGTACATTGCGATTTTCTTTATGTAAAAAACAATACCATATTAATCTTGTGCGACTCCTTTTCAAAATGGCTGGAAGTGATGCCAATAAAAGGAACCACAGAAATTGAGACTGAAGAAAAGCTATATAAGAGAGATATTTGCTAGAATGGGTCTTGCCAAGAACCTTGGTTAAGGATAATGGACCTCCCTTTAGCTCTAAAAATTTCAGAAAGTTTCTGGATATAAACGGAATAAAACATTTATAACTAGTTCTCCTTACCATCCACAAAGCAGTGGAGCCACAGAAAATGCGGTGAAAACCTTCAAAAAGAAAATATTGACAGCCCTTACTGATCCACAAAATAGAAGCACTTCATTACAAACTTTAATTTCCAGATATTTACTAACATACAGAAATACAAGACATGCAGTGACTGGCAAGTCACCAGCGGAAATAGTCTACAATCGACCTTTAAGAACAAGGTTGACTCTCTTAAAAGAAGAAAAAGTAGATAGAAGTGAAGAAACAAACAAAGTACGCAGACAATTTAAAACGGGGGAGGAAGTGATGATAAGAAGCTACAAACTAGGAAAGAAGTTATGGGAGAAGGCCTGGGTGGACAAGAAAGTTGGAAAAACAGTGTATACCTGTCATTATCCATCAGGAAGGACTTGCAAGAGACATGCAAATCAAATGATGCATGTGGGAATTCCAGACAAGCCAAATGAACAGGACATTCGCGAATTAAATACTAAAAATCATTATTTTAATAGTTCACTAAAATATCAGTCTGTTACCAACCCAATTTTCTGCTCTTCAATTCCTTTTATAGGTCAGTCAGTGGAGCCCGAGCAGGCCGGAGCAGTTGGAAACAATGTGAATGGCGAGAAAACCTCAAAAGAGATGACATTAGAACATCAAGACGGACCAGTTCCATCGTCTACAGCTTGTGCGGTACACAAAATTCCGGACGAAACCTTAGATAGGGTAAAGAGTGGTAAAGATTTTAATTCTTATATTTTTTCGAATATATTAAATAATGTTAACGAGGATATCCAAAATCAAATGGATAACGAGCAGCAAACAGCTGAGAAGATTTTTAAGTGTAGGAAGGATGTAAATCACGATTTTTCAGGTTCAATTAAGCAAATTAATGATAGGGATTTAAACAAAGCGGTCGATAGTAATCAAAACTCAAATAATGCAACTAGACCAAAAAGGCCTAAAAGAATGCCATTGAGATTAACAGATTACGTCACATTGGACGAAATTTACTAGGAAAATTCTGAGGAAGTTAAGGAAAGTAATTCTTTATTTTAATTTAACAACTAAAATGTACGAAACATTACTCGAATCATGTATGTAATGAAGGAAATGGTTGAGCTTATTTTCATGTTGATCCTTATGATAGATTTGAATGTGTATCTTATGTTGTATAATAATAGGCTCGTTCAATGAAATTTTTCTAACGCGGTTTTTCACATTTTTATGGAGTATTACTGACATATAGCACATAAAAAAAAATTTCAGCTCAATTGGATAAATATTAAATAAGTTACGCGTTTTTTAATATTAAAGCAGTTATGCCCGTTATGCCTCAGAAATTAATTGCTGTGACGTCATAGCATCTCTCAAGTTGTGACAGGCTAAAGGCCGTCATACGCGGTTTTGCATAACGCAATGTCAACTGATTTTCTATTGACAGTTTGGCACACAGTATACGGAACTATACAATATTTTAAATTTTTCTTTTTGCATGCTACATCCATAAATTGTGCTTATAAAATATTGAAACTCAGGGAATTATTCAAATATACGAAATGTGATTTGGAAGAAAAACATTAAACCTCTACCAGATACATAAAATGCCAAACTGAAACTTGTCTAAACGATGCCAAACCAAAATTTGTCAAAAGGTCAAAACAATGCCCGTATCACCCCGTATTGTCGAAGTGACTGGCGTACCAGCACCACGACGACCGACGTGAGAGATGCAGTGACGTCACCGCGTGTTTTAAATTTGGAGTACTTTGATAATTTTTTTAAATATGAACAAGGACTCAGAAAATTATGAAATTTTGCATAACTGCTAAACTCAACACGCTCTTTTAGAATACGTAATAAAAAATATGCTGTACGAGCCTATATTGTACTGTTCCAAAAACAAGGACATATTACTTTAAGTAATTACGAAAAATCTAAGGGAGTGCGGTAATGCAACCAACAATACAATTTATTAATTATATTCAATTCAGGAATTACATGCGCGCAGCCAAGAGGCAGTGAGCTCGGACTATTTCCCAGAACGTTCTTCTGCTACCGACCGCCATACTGAAAAGTTAGCTGAACCATAAAACTTCACATCTCAGATACTGGAAAGTGAATTTGGCTGAAATTTTCCGGATCTTCAATTTTTCACTTGCCAGACATATTATCCATACTCACAGATTAGCTGGACTATTTTTTTACGTATTTTCAGTATACTTCTCATTAGTAGACCTATTTTTATCAAAAAAAGGACCTTGCATTCGCAAGCTCTAATGGATTTTGCGCCTCAACCGATCAGAAAACCCCCCCTAAAAATATATGAATTTTGCTTTGAATCACTAACCCTACAATTCCATCCATGTTGTCTGACTGGGAAAATAGATGCCGAAAATCGTCACTGCCTCGTTACAGAAACTTTGTTCCGATTAACCAGATCCCCAACTGTTTGTTTTTTAATTGTCTTTAGTGAAGACGATTAGGTAAAAAAAAAAGACAAACTACATCAGCTGGTCATCTGGTTAATCGGATCCATTTCCGTGAATCGAATTTTCGCGACAAACTACTTCCATTGTTTCATGAACACGAACGCTTTCGTGAGAAACTCATGACGTCATATTGAACGTATAGTTCGCCGGAAGTATGGACGCAGCTTCTAGCCAGCGTTCAAACTCATGACGTCACAAGACGAACTATGGTTAGTCCTTGGATGAACTACATTCGTCGCGAAAATTCGGTTTACGTCCAATGCAACGAGAAGGACTTTGACAATATCACGTTCTCTTGTTGAGTACCAATTTTTATGGAAATTGTATCAATTTTTTATTGTTGCCTATAGTCTATTGTAGAAACATTCACACATCAACTCCAACATTTCGAATTTCGACCCTCTTTGTGACAAATGTGACATCGTCGGGGACAATAACCAATTATATATAATATAAAAATTACCAATGCTTCAAGATTGGACATCCGTTTGCAAAGTTCGACCAGCCGTTGAGTGCCGAGCATGTTTATCGTCACCGATAGTTTCAGTTTTTCGTCAAATTTGACTGTGGCGGCGCTGTGAAAGACTACGTTGACAGTTCGCGAGAGCAGCGCAATGTCATTTTTACTGATGGCGAGTTCGGGCTGAGTGATGTCGCCCTCGATCGGTAGGACTTTGGACAGATCGTTGGGCCGGTCTTTACGGAGGAGGTCAAATAGCTAAAAAAAGAAAAACGAAGATAATTTTTAGAAATTATACAAAAATATCGAGCAACATAGTCGATATTCTTGCTGATGGGTTAAAATCTCTATATTGTTAATTTTCGTCTCAACGCTTTTGAGCGTACACAGCATTTTCTAACACTCAAGAAACTGGAGTGCCTCTTTAAAAAAAAATGTAACTCGCTGAAAATCCCATTTTTGACGCAGCCAAGTAGGATAAATCTAAAAAAAAAATGTTCGACAAAAGACTAAAGTCGGCGATAAGCTGTATTTTTAGACGCCATTTCTCATATTCGGAACAGTATATCATGATGGGAATAAATGGCTTCGTGGCACGACGACACCAAGATCCATAGAACACGACATAAACTTTCTTTTTTTATTTATTAGAAACCTGATGGCGAATGATTCACCCCAGGTTTGATTAAATAAATTAAACTGTGGCGTGCTTAAACATCAAATATTTGCTGTTCGAGAGTTGGAGAGTCTTGTTTGAACATGAATTTGGCTTAATTCCGAATAATAATGTGTTGGTTTTTTGATTTCACTTTTCTGGATGAAATGAGCCAATTTGAAGGGATATTTCCGTTCTTTCTGCGGTTTAAAATGCAAGTTTTTTTACATATAAAAGGATTTAATACAATTCTATTAACACCACATAAACTCATTTCTAATCCAATTTGAATTCTGTCGCCTCGCTGGAATTTTTTTATTTTATTTATCCCTTATATCATTATTCTAAAGGGGCTTGGAAGGTCCTTGGCCTCACCCCCTTTGCACTCGCGTGATGTTATGGGACCCATTACGTCCAATACAAAGTAAGTTTAGAACGCGTTTTGAATAATTATCCTGACGGTTTCTGGATGAATAAGAATTTCCGAGGTGATGAACAGTTTTGTAGAAATTTCGCCTAACTTTCATTGACTAATCGCCTTCCTCATCAGATGTATAAACAAAACAGCTCGTAATATGCCAATTCCAGATTGGCCAACCCACTCCCCAGATCTAAATCAAATTGAACAACTTTTTGAATAATGTCAAAGACGCTAATGGATTTGTCAGGCTTCAGCAGATATTATGTTGGTTCCAAGTCAAATCATTACAAACTTTGTGAACCAGAAATATAGTAATTAGAAAACCCATTTTTTTTACATTCAAAAGTATTCGTAACACTTCTCCCACATAAGATTTAAACAAACGTAAATGAAAAACCGAAAGTTTAATATCAACAAAACCGTGTGGTTAACGTTTGGTGAAGTGGAGAAAGTGAACACACAGTGACACAAAATATTTTTTATGAATCAAAAGCGGATGTTTATTTACTTACCGGTGAACACAAAAGTTGCTGAAGCCTTTCCTGTGCATCTTGTCCCCTTTTAGGTCTGATTAATAAGTAAATTTTCAACACTCCCGGGCAACTTCTAAGTAATTTTTCCAGTAAAACCTTTAAAAAAATCAATTAACAATCTGTTGTTGTCATAATTAAATGTTACCTTGCCCATAAACCCAGTGCCGCCGGTAATAAAAACGGTTTTTCCATTGTAAAAATCCGGTACTGTGCCCTGCACGGACACCATTGGACCGTTCGTACTGAAGGCCGCCATTGAAACTTTTGCGGCGCTACTGGTACCTGATGGAAACTCTTGGATCACCATAGAGGAGAGTCAATTAGCCTGGAATACGGAAAAATGCCATAATTTCAAGTATACGTATGTAACTTCTCAGTCTTCAATAAACATCAATGGAGAAGAAGAAATTCATTCTCAAGAGTATTGTTCTTTACTCTTGTAAGACTTTGCAAATTACTAAAATATGTATTAGAGAATGAACTTCTGGCAAAGATCAGTTGGAGTGTCAATAATGAGTAGCGTCAGAAACAAACGAGATTTTTCCCATTTCTCTTGTAAGGCAATTTGTGAAACATGTCTCATACAACGTCGTTTCTGGGAGATTTATTATTTCTCATATCTTTCAAGTTATTTTTGATTTTATCTACGAGTGATATCTGGAATATTGTCAGATCCTATAATTTTTCTTTTTCTTTCAATACCGCATGACATCGCTAATAGTCATACCTACCCAAGCCTTAAAATAAACAGCAGAAGCTGCTTTTGCAACCCTTTTACTAAAAATAATGCGAGTAAAATGTGCCGCTACAATGGCAGTGGAGATGTAGAAAGTAAGAAAAAGATGTCGGAAAAGTTAGCAGCACATTCGAAACAGGATCGCTAAAACATGTTCCTGCTTGTGCTGCTATGGTCCTGCCTCATCCTGCTTCATATCTGACCAGTGCCGTATTTCCCTATACGCACAGTACGCATAGGCGTAAGGCGGAAAATCTGGGGAGGCGGCAAAATTAAAAAAAAAAAAACAGAAAAAGACAAAAAATAATCGGGAAACGAAAGCCGAAGATCCAACGCGAAACGCGGTTATGTATCGCGTTGGGCCTTTATTTGATTTTTGATCAATTCGAACAATATTATAACAAATACAAAAAGTAACAAAGCACAAAGAACAGATACCTACCAAAAAAATTATAGAGCCTGTAAACGCCGGTTTTAAAAATAAAAAGTGCATATGAAAAAAATGAATCGAACAAAAGACCACACACGCAGATCAAAATAATGTACCTATACCAAGTTTAGGTAATAAAATGTAGGTAGTAAAGAAAAAAAAAATGAAAAAAGGCTCAAAATAAACGGTTTTGGGCGTGGCACCCAAAATGATTTTCGTTTAATCCTGGCGTCCCTGTTAAGTTTGCCCCGTCCGCCTCCCAAAGCCTGGCTATGTACGCCACTGTCCGTGTCCTAGTCCTGTATCTTCTTGGCCCCCCGTTATTTGAGGTACGCGCCGCTCGTGCCAACATAAGGGCGACCTTTCCAAACAGGCCAGAGGTGTAGCCACGGGGGAGGTTTTAGGGGTTAAACTCCCCCACTTGATCAGAAAATATAATTAAAACCCACGAAACCTATGTTTTAGCATATACTTTTTTACCCTCAAAATTTTATTCTTTTCACATAAAGCATTGATCTTGAAATTGTACAAAATTTTCGCCTGCGGCGCAATTTTGTTTCTGACATCCCTATGGTCATGCAATGTTTCTTAATTTCAATAGCGAAACCCCCACCCCATCTGAATTTTCTGGCTACGCGCCTAAAACAGGCGTAGGGCGGCAAATTGGTAAATCCGGCACTGTATCTGACCCCGGAGATACGCACTATTTCCGAGATACAGCGATTTTTATTATGGTTACTAACTTCACCCTTGGCAACACATTGAAAGCAGAGCTGGGATTCTGTAACGAATAGAGATATTTTCGCTATCTCTATCGACGTCCCTCTCTATTGATTTCGAAAAGAGAGAAAAAGACAGCAAGTGCCATAGCGATAGGGATAACAATTTCTATCTGTTACAGAATCTCGTCCCGCAGGATCGCTAAAACAGGTTCCTGCTTGTGCTGCTATAGTCCTGCCTCATCCTGCTTCAAATCGATATATTCGGCAACGGTGTCTCGAGCTCGCCGTATTCCTACGACTAGACCAGTAATGCTACCAGTGTGTATCTCAAAAATATTAGGTGTTGCTGGGGTGATTGAAGCAGTTTAAGGCAGGATCATAACAACATGCAACATTTTGGAGCGATCCTGGTTCCAGTGTGTTGCCAAGGGTGTTGTTAGCCACCAAAATAAAACTCGCTGTATCTCGAAAATAGTACGTGTTGCCGGGGACACATCTGAAGCAGGATAAGGCAGGACCATAGCAGCACAAGCAGGAACCTGTTTCAGCGATCCTGCTTCCAATGTGTTGCCAAAATGGAAATCGATATATTTTGAAAACGGTGGGTGTTGCTGGGTTGCGGTTTGAAGCAGGACAAAGCAGTAATCTAACAGCACAAGCAGAGGTGCATCCTAAAGTACCTGCTTCCAAAGCGTTGCTAACTTCCCCGACGTAAAAAAAAGTAATTATAGTTTAATTTTTTATGTGTGGATACGATAAATCAAACCCAATCCCTCAAACTCCTTACAGAGTGACCCAACACTTTTAATAGTCGCATTCGTACACACAGAATTTTTGCAAACTTCTTCACGAAATGCTTGATCTACCCTTATCAGCCGTCCACTCGAAAAAACCCCTCGCCAAACAATGGGTTTCCGGGTTTCATGAGGCGTATTTTTGTTAATTATAATTATACAACCCCATAGGCGTAGGTGAAAGATTTTAACAATTATTATAATCTGCTTGCTATAATAACTATAGTAAATGCATTCTGCTACATTTATGTCCCTGAGTTTGAAAAACAGCATTTATAATACATTGATACAGTTAATGCTATCCTTTTAGAGGATCAACGAAAATGGAATACGTTACTTTTGCTAGCATTATTCAAATTAATTTCTAATTCTCACCTTTCTCTATCCTGGTCAGCTGTCAACGCTGCTTCCTTCTTCCAAAGCCCGACATTTATCCGACCAACGTGAAAATTCTGAAAATAAACCAATTCAAGTCTTAAATTCCTTATGGAAAACGATGTTTTGTAGCGTCAAAATTTCTTGGAAGATGGTTACGACTTTTTAAATGTTTCTGTGGTTTTCTTCGTGAAACAAATAAGGTTTCAAGTTCTCATTGCACGGACTCAGATCGGTGGTGCGCTCGCCTGCAACAAAAATAATAACATTAAAAATGACAGGATAAACGTCAGAAATCTAATGATGGATTTTTTTGGGAGCATAAACATTGTAACAGGTGCTATTTTATTGAAAGGTAAAAATTGTGCCGAACAATAAATGAAGAAAGTTATTACTGTTTAGGTATAAATTAGGTACAATATAATTTTATGTGGCATTTCTTTATTGAAATTAGTTTTATTGTACAGTTATGCGGCTATAAAGAATCTTTTTATTATACTAGGACAGTAAAGTAAACTTTATTTATCTATTTTATTAGGAAAAGTAAACTTTATTCAACCAAGTACAATTACGATATATTAAAGTCAATGTCATTTTTTTAAATAGGTATTTGAACGAACACCTATAAAAACATTGAAATTTTTGACTACTCGATGGAGATTTTATGACAAGATAAAAAAAGATGTATTATAAGGCTTTTACGGAAGCGCTGATTCAGTTAACCCGATCACAGGCTGTTTGTTTCTCATTTTTCTTCAATGAACACGATCGAAAAAAGACAAATTATATCAGCTATAGTGAACGGGTTAATCAGATCAACGTTTCCGTAAAGGCCTATACAGTGAAATTATTAAAATAATGGATGAATGTCATCAATGACGTCGAAATTATTGCCAACTGCAGTTTGTAAGAAATTAAAATTCGTTTTAAGCTCAGAGCGCATTTTCTCTTTTGTTTAACCCTAGTTAAAAAGAGATAGAATGCTGTCGGATCATATGACCGAATCTGCCGATAAAATGGGATTTATTAGGTTGGCACTCGTGGGTAATGTTGCCAAACGTTGGCTTCTGCAAATCTTCGGTTATTGATTTTAATAATGTGAGGTTTGTCGTAGGTTTTTAACGAGTCGGGGATTGATAGTTGGGATATAATTTAAGTACTAACATGGGATTTTTGGGCTCTATGGATTTCGCCTATTTTTTGATATGTTGCAGAGGATTTAATTCTTAACAACTTTTAAATGGGACGAAATCTTGTAGGTATTACGGTCTTTGAGATATGAGCGTTTAAAGATGAACTTTTTTGCGACATATGGCGATTTCCATTTGTCAATCAGTGCGCACTGAGTGTATCAGCGTCTTTTTCTAAAAGCATGTAAAATATAAGGATAGGGATATATTTTTTTTGCACTTATTCTATAAATGGAAATTGCTGTTAGTTTGTGAAGAGCATACGAAAAACTGGTGGTTCTGTGAACTGGTGTTTATCAGTCAAAATATTGACAGATCCACATATTTTACGTCACTAACAAATGTCAACATAGGCTGAGGCCGGGACCGCACTGGCACCAACATTGGCCCCAGTGCGGTCCCGGCCTGGGACTATGTTGACATAAGTTTGAGTGACGTAAAATATGTGAGCCTGTCAATGTTTTGACTGATAAACACCAGTAGCACCAGTATTTTGTATACTCTCCACACAAAAAGTCGCAAAAAAGTTCATCTTTCAACGCTCATATCTCAAAGACCGTAATGTAATACCTATAGTTCATACCAAATAAACTTGTTGTTGTGACATCGATGACGCCATTTTTAAAATCGTTATCGCCAACCGTGAAAATATTCGGCGTCAGATTGACTTAATTGGAATTTGAATTTCCCGCTGGCCATTCAGTTGGTAACACCACTTCAAAAAATGTAACGTTGCCAAATTAAATTCTTGACATTTTGAATTTTGATTGCGTTTTGGCAGTTACGAGATTTTGGTTTGTGCTATTGATTGTGACCTTGTTTTTTAAAAGCAGCTTGTAGTGCGAAGTGTACAAGATGCCGAAGCAGCTTAACAGCCGTTGCAAAGAACAAATCGCATAATTGTAACAATATTTCGAACGAGAATGCAATAATATTGGCCCTTTCTGTCCCTTAAATGCTGTTAGGAAGGTGAGTTTACAAGTCGTTGATGTCGTGTGACCAAATAGGAATTTTCAATTTTAACTTTATTTTCTCTCATTTTTAGCGCGTAGCAGAGGCTTTGAACTTAAGTATGTCCAATGTCTGTGATATTTCAAAGGCAGTCAAAAATAACGAAGTTTTGGAATCGCCTTCTGAGAAACGATGCACTTCGAAGAGTTAGTGATGTTTCAAAGTTCCATAGCAGTGCTATACGTAACACTATTTACAATATGTATGCAAAAAGTAAATCGTTTGAGACAAGGTACATAGATATCTATGAATCCTCTTCTTTCTTCTTGTAGGACATGACAATGTAACATTATTCTGTATATGTAAGCAATTGAAAGCCAAACAATTATTTGATGGCAGTCGCATGTCATTGAGTAGAATGTTAAAAAAAATACCTAGGCTTCAAATGGAAAAAAGATGGCCCAAGACAAGGGCTCATTGAACTTCCTGATATTGCTGTTAAACGCCTATCATTTTTGAGGTCTTATCTAATACTGAAACAGGAGGCTTTGTACCAGTTTGTTTTCTTGGATGAGACTTGAATTTTTCAAAATGGTACCGACTATTAACCGCTCGTGGCAAGACAACAACAAGCGAAGTGTTAAAACTACCAAAGTTGATGGTAAAAGGTGAATATAAACACGAATACAGAGAGCAGTTGTATTATAAGTACAAAAGAAATGCTTTTTTTAGATATATCATACTTCATGCTGGCACTGGAAATGGAATCATTGAAGGTGCATCGCTTGTATTTTCATCGAAAACTCAACTTAACGACTATCATGGAGAAATTAATCAGCAAAACTTTTTATGTTGGTTCAAAAATCAGCTTTTGAAGAACTTGAGTGAAACTTCGTCAGTTATAGACAATGCTCCTTACCACAGAATGTTATTAACGAAGACACCTAATAGTTCATCTACCAAGGCTGAAATTCAAAATTGGTTAACCAAACAGAAAGTTGAGTATCCAAATACACCATTGAAATCTGAACTTGTGACCATTGTTGCACGGTAAGTAGGTACCTACCTACAATACCAAAATTGTTTGCATTTTATGTTCAACTTCTCAAGTACCTATTGCATTTTTAGGAATAAACCAACAAAAAAGTATGTGGTAGATGACTTGGCAGATTAGTATGGACATAAAGTTTTACGACTACCTCCATACCACTGTACTTTTAACCCGATTGAACTTATTTGGGGAATTGCAAAAAACTACTATAACCGACAAATTGGCAGAAATGGTTATACTCAAGATACTTGTTTAAAAATGTGGCGAGAGGCACTGGAAACTGTTACCCCTGAAATGTGGAAAAATTCTATTGCACATACAGAAGGAATAATTGACAAGTAGTATAACAGGGAACAAGTAATGGACAGGCAAAAGGTTCTTCCACTTATTATCCATGTTGATGAAGACTCTAGCGATTCTAGCGATTTCAGTGATCCAGAATAATTGAAAATATTCTTGATGATTCAAATACCCATAATATTTAATTATTTATAGTATTTAGAGTGGCTGTAAATAAAATGAGCGTTACTATTTTATTTTATGTGATGATTGACAAATGAGTTGTTATTAAATATCTATTGAACCAAGCTTTGAAACAATGTTTATAATTTAAGTAATAAATGTTTGCATTATATTATAATATAATAATAATTATTGTTTCTGGAAATATTTTGACCAAAGGAAAATATGCAAGAGACGGCAACGCTGTCCCGGCCGAGCTTGACAACCCGACTATAAGTTTATTTGGTATGAACTATACAAGATTTCGTCCTATTTAAAAGTTGTTAAGAATTAAATCCTCTACAACATAACAAAAAATGGGCAAAATCCATAAAGCCCAAAAATCCCATGTTAGGTGTGCGTTATCCTTTGAATTAAAACGTCATAAATTTTGATGACGTGCATCGTGCATTCATTATTTTATTAATTTCCCTATACTTTGAAATGTTTTGCCAATGTAAAGTTTATTTCACGAAACGAGATAGTGAAAATAAACAAACTTTGACAGGTAAGTCGAATTTTATTGGAGAAACAACAAATTTAATAAATCGGGTGCGGAATTTATGCCCAAATGACGTCCACAGTCTATTTCTTCTCAAGATAAAATTTAACATTGAAAACTTTGAAACATAAACAATAACGCTTGGCCCTGATTGGTCGCAAAATGAGGTGTCCCTGCAGGTTGACATCAGTTTTACAATGCATGTCGTGTAAATGGCATTTAGCGACCAATAAGCGGCATCAGCGGCTTTGTTTATGTTTCAACGTTGACAGTGTCAAAATCTATCTTGGGAAAAAATAAACTGTAGATCATATTCGAAATTGTCAATAGTTGTCAACAATTGTCACCAGTTGAGAAGTTAACTATTCTTAAAATAAATATGTATTTCGTTTATTAATGGGAGTAGAAAAAATAGTGTATGCAACTCTCATGTAATGTAATGGCCATTAATACACTTGCATGTTATATACGAAACTCGCCTGCGGCTCGTTTCGTATTCGTATTCTACAACATGCTCGTGTATCAATGCCTATAATTACATGATCATTGCATAATATACTATTCTAGATGATTTTCTAGTGCTTGAAAGAGTAATTTTCGTATTTTCAAGCAGGAGAGTTTTCTTAACAGAATCCTGAATCCCGATGTATATTTTATATTTTATTTGTCTGCTATTCAAGGTATCGACACAAGTTGATGTGGAGGATAGTAAATGGCTTGGATCCATACACCATTTATGTAGAGGGACTTTTTCTCTTTTGCTACAATCCATGAAGCCCTCACAAAGTATAGACAAATCGTTTTTCTCCGTTAAAAACCTGTGTTTTGTCTCTGCAGGAACGGCATGAAACGAGACTTTCTCGCGATTAGAACGGCCTTTCTCGCAATGAGAACGGCTTCCGCAACTAAGTACAATACATAACGTATGCATTTTCCAAAATATCAACACTTTACTGACTTTATACAAATTAAAAATAGTGTTGCAGGTCGCAAGAAATCTTGTCTTGCTCGGCTATTTCTTGTCTTGTCTTGCTAAGCAAGACAAGAAATTTC